TCAATGTACTTCGTTCAGTTACGTATTTATACACAACTCACCACACAACTCACCACAACACACACACAACTCATCACACCACCACACAACTCCACTACACCAACACACCACACACAACTCACCACACAACACACCACACAACTCATCACACCACACACCTCAACTCTCTACGCAACACACCCACACAACTCCCTTACACAAATCACACAACCACACCACACAACTCCCACACACAACACATCACAACTCTTACACAACACACCCCCAGCACACACTCCCCACACACAACTCATCCCACACAACTCACCCACAACACATCACACAACTCCCCCACACACAACTCACCCACACAACTCACACAACACACAACTCACCACACAACACACACACACACACAACACACACACAACTCTACAGCATATACACACAACTCACACACAACATCACACAACTCACACACAACTCACACACCCCACACAACTCACCACACAACCTCCCACAGCACACAACACATCACACACAACTCACCCACACACAACACACACAACTCACCCCACAGCACTCACACAACTCATCCACACAACTCACCACCACAACACACCCACACAACACACCACACAACTCACCACAACTCATCCACACAACTCACCCACACAACTCACCCACACAACACACCCCCGCTCTACCCACACAACTCATCACACAACTCCTACACCACACCACACAACTCACCACACAACACACCCACACAACTCACCACCCCAACACACACACACAACTCATCACACAACTCACCCACACAACTCATCCTGGGCAGGTCACCTGGGTAAGTTTAGCCAGGTAGAGGTATGAGTATATCAGGTGGTAGTCGAGGCGATGCTGGTTAACACTTTACACCAACTCTTAATTAGCTATTCAAATGTTGCTAAATTTGCTGAGAGGGAGGAGAAAAGGAAGAAGAAAAAAGTAGGTGAAAGAAGAAAAAAGAGAGAAAGGAAGGAAGGGGGTGGAGGGAGAGAGAATATTGGTGGGGAGGGAAAATGGAGAGAGAGAGAGAGAGGGGGTGGGATCGAGGAGAGATGAAAGTGTTTTGGAAGGATGGAAGGAGAGAGAGAGAGAGGGGGGGGGGGTGGTTGGAAGAGACGGTTTGTGAACTAGATATACATGTATATGCAGGTATATGACAAGGCGTTGAAACCACTGAACACGATAACGACCCGGGAGAGACGTGGTAACAGCCTGTGTTGATGTTCTGCGTTGGTACTTCGTGGAAATTGTTCAACGCGACATTTCGAGAGACATTATTATTCATGGATGGTTAAGAAGTTGATTGATTGAGAGGGAATTGAGAGGAAAAGAAATTGAGAGATTGAGAGAATTAAGGGAGAAAAGAATTGAAAGTATGAGAGAAATTGAGAGATTGAGAGAAATTAAAAGATTAAAGAGGGAGTTCGAGAGTGAGAAGAACTGAGGAGTTTGAAAGGAATTGAGATTGAGAGGGTTGAGAGAATGAGTGGGAATTGAGAGATTGAGAGGGTTGAGAGATGGTTCCTTCACAAACACCTTCAAAAATATTAGAACAAAAATGATTCTTGAATAAATTTATTTTAGAAATTGTAAAATATAGGAAAAAAATTTGTTTAGAAAAAAACGAAAAAAAGTTTATTAAATCATAAAATATAATTTCAAGAGTTTTATCATCAACTGTCCCAACTAAGTCGTTCATAAACAACAACAATTTTACCTTATAGTCGGAGCAAAACAACAACAATTCGCCTTACAATCTTGAAGCAAGCAACAACAATTCGTTACACTCTTAGCTTAAGCAACAACAATTCGCGTTACACTCTTAGCTTAAACAACAACAATTGCTTTACACTCCTTAAGCAAACAACAACAATTTAGCCTTACGCTCTTGCTCAAGCAACAACAATTAGCCTTACCTCTTGGCAAACAACAACAGATTCGCCTTACACTCTTAGCTCAAACAACAACGAATTCGTTATACTCCTAAACTAAGAAAACAACAATTCATTACCTCTTAAGGCAAACAACAACAATTCATGCACTCTTGAGGCTAGCAACAACAGATTCGCCTTTTAGTCCCAATCTGTCTGTCTGTCTGTCTGTCTTCTTTTCTTTTCTATCTGCCCGTCTGTCTGTCTGTCTGTCTGTCTGTCTCACCACAAGAGACATGCTCTCCTTTAAAGTCATAACATCAATATTGTATTAGATGGGAAACAAAAAAAAGGGATTTACGTTGGTTTCTTAAATATTGTTTTTTTTAAAATTACTTTTTCTCTCGATAAAATCATAACAAGAAACAGTTAATAAATGATTTCTAAAGTGTTGTTAAAATGTTAAAACCAGGTTAAAAGTGTTATTTTTTGTCACTATATTGTCTAAATTTTGTCACAACAACAACCTTCTCCATAAACAAAGCAACAACAATAACCACAACAACAACAACAACAACAACCAACAACAACCAACAACCAACAACAACCAACAACCAACAACCAACAACAACCAACAACAAACCAACAACAACAACTAACAACCAACAGCAACCAACAACAACAACAACAACAACAATATATAATAATAATAATAATAATAATAATAATAATAATAATAATAATAACATATATTTGGATGTTTCAGTAACAAAACAGTAAACACTCAAATCAAGGACATTTCTTTTAGATGAAAGTTACCCAAAACTTTCCATTTTTCTCCCGCGGAAATAACAACAACAACAACAACCTCCACCTCCACAGCCTCCAACACGTTTCAATAAGGGAAGAAGAACAACAACAATAGCAGCAAGAACAAGAACAAGAGCAAGTAGAATAAGAACAACAATAACAACAATAAGAATCTATTGGAGGAACTCGGTGGCAAAACGCTGCTTCACGTAGACAATCTGGGAACTCATTAAACTCTATATTATGGAGCTGCTGGTGGAACTTGTGGCGGCTCCTCCATTACTGGGCTGACGACAACACTACCACACAACAACCTTCAATCAAGCTTACTGGCACCGACAAAGGTCTGTTTCTCTCTGACGACACTCATGGGAGGGAGAGGGGGTGGGGGAGTGGAGGGTGGAGGGTGGAGGGAGTGGAGGGAGGGAGGAGTGGAGGGAGGGAGGGAGAGGGAGAGGGGTTGGAGGGAGAGGGTTGGAGGGAGTGGGGTGGAGGGAGAGGGTGGTGGGTGGAGGGGTGGGGGATGGAGGGAGTGGAGGGAGGGAGGAGAGGGGTTTGGGAGGGGTGGGGGTGGAGGGAGAGGGGGTTAGAGGAAAGGGGGGTTGGAGGGAAAGGGTTGGAGGGAGAGGGGTTGGAGGGAGTGGGGTGGAGGGAGAGGGTTGGAGGGAGAGGGGTATGGAGGAGAGTGGGGATGGAGGTAGAGGGGTGGAGAGGGGGGAGAGGGAACGGGAGGTTGGAGGCAGGAGGATGGAGGAGGGAGAGGAGGAGGCGGGAGGATGGAGGGATAGGGGGTGGGGAGGAGGAGGGAGGCAGGATGATAAGGGGAGTGAGGCAAAGGATGGAGGGAGGAGAGGAAGAGGAGATGGGAGAGGATTGAGAGGAAGAGGAGAGATGGAGAAATTGAGAATACGATGGGTGGAGATATTTATGAATGGGAGGAAGGGCGTGAGGGAATAGAGGAAGAAGGGAGAAGTGAGGGAGAGAAGAGGGTGAGAGAATGGATTGAAGAATGAGATTAGAAAGGAAGGAAGGAAAGGAGGAAGGGTTGGAACGAGAAAGTACAGTGTGAAATGGGAAGAATTGCGGCAGAGGATCATAAAGAAAAGAACGACAAAGGAAGGAGGCTGAGAGAGAGAGGATCATAAAGGAAAGAACGACAAAGGAAGGAGGCTGAGAGAATCGTTCAACCAGCAGGATCGTCAAGCAAGGGTACAGCGGGTGTCTTGAGGACCTCATCAACACTTACCTGAAGAAGCTCGAAACAAGCTCTCCAACACAACAAGCTCTCGCAAACTCTAAACAACCAACAAACAACAATACACCAACAAACACAACGCAACAACAAGCTCAACAAACCAACAAGTTTCAACACACCAACAAGCTCCCATGCAACAACAAGTCTCGAACAAACCAACAATCTCCTCAACGCAACAAACCATCAACACCAACAAGCTCTCCAACAACAAAACTCCCCAACGCAACAGCAAATCTCCAACAAACCAACAAAACTCTTCAACACCAACAAGCTCCCAACGCAACAACAAACTCTCCAACAAACCAACAAGCTCTCCAACACCAACAAGCTCCCCAGTGCGACAACAAGCTTCCAACAAACCAACAAGCTCTCAACACACCAACAAGCTCTCCAACACCCACAACAAACTCTCCAACACACCAACAAGCTCCCACAACGCAACAACAAGCTCTCCAACGCACCAACAAAACTTTCCAACACACCAACAATCTCCTCAACACACCAACAAGCTCTCCGACACACCAACAAGCTCTTCAACACACCAACAAGCTCTCCGACACCAACAAGCTCTTCAACACGCAACAAAACTCTCCAACACCAACAAGCTCCCAACGCAACAACAAGCTCTCAACGCACCAACAAGTCTCCAACACCAACAATCTCCTCAACGCACCAACAAAATCCCCAACACCAACAAGCTCTCCAACACACCAACAAACTCTTCAACACACCAACAAGCTCTCCAACATACCAACAAGCTCCAACGCAACTAGCTCAACGCACCAACAAGCTCCAACACCAACAATCTGTTCAACACACCAACAAGCTCTCAACACCAACAATCCCCAACACAACCTCCAACACACCACACTCCGACACCAAGCTCTCCAACATACCAACAAGCTCCCAACGCAACAACAAGCTCTCAACGCACCAACAAGCTCTCAACACACCAACAATCTGTTCAACACACCAACAAGCTCTCCAACACAAAACAAGTTCCCAACGCAACAACAAACTTTCCAACGCACCAACAAGCTCTCCAACACCAACAATCTCTCAACACACCAACAAACTCCCAACACACCCACAAGCCTCCAACACACCAACAAGTTCCCTAACGCAACAACAAGCTCTCCAACGCACCAACAAGCTCTCCAACACACCAACAATCTCTCAACACACCAACAATCTCCTCAACACACCAACAAGCTCTTCAACACAACAACACGCTCACCAACACCAACAAAATACAACGCAACAACAAGCTCTTCAACGCACAACCAAGCTCTCCAACACCAACAATCTCCTCAACACACCAACAAGCTCCAACACCAACAAATCTTCAACCGCCAACAAGCTCTTCAACACAAACAGCTCCCAACGCAACAACAAGCTCCTCAACACACCAACAAGTCTTCAACACAAACAAGCTCTCCAACACACCAACAAGCTCTCCAACGCACCAAAAACTCTCAACACACCAACAAGCTCTCCAACACACCAACAAGTCTTCCAACACACAAACAAGCTCTCAACACACCAACAAGTCTCCAACACACCAAATCTCCCTAACACACCAATAAGCTCTCCAACACACCAACAATCTCCAACACACACTAACAAGCTCTTCAACGCACCAACAAGCTCTTCAACACACCAACAAGCTCTCAACACACCAACAAGCTCCCCAACGCAACAACAAGCTCTTCAACACACCAACAAGCTCTCAACACCTTCCAGCTCTTCAACTATCTAAAAGCTCTCCAACACACCAACAAGCTCACACAACACACCAACAAGCTTCCAACACACCAACACCAACGCACCAACAAGCTCTCCAACACACCAACAAGCTTTCCAACAAGCTCTCCAACACACCAACAAGCTCCCCAACGCAACAACAAGCTTTTTCAACGCACCAACAAGCTCCCCAACACACCAACAAACTCCTCAACGCACTAACAAGCTCTCCAACGCACCAAAAAGTTCTCCAACACATCAACAAGCTCTCCAACACACCAACAAACTCCCCAACCACACTGACAAGCTCCCCAACATGCTCTCCAACACCCCAACATGCTCTCCAACACACCAACAAGCCTCTCTAACACACCAACAAGCTCTCCAACACACACTAACAAGGTTCTCCGACACTCCAACAACGAGACACAGACCAGGAGAGAGAAAGGAAGGGTTCTCCAGCAACACCCCCCCCCCCCCCATCCATACAAGGTAACACGCACTGTCCTTTCTGTCTCACGATGATAATTAAAGAGGGAAAGACCATAGGAGTCTTCTCAACGGCCTCTTTCTCCTGTATCAAGTAGTCCGTGGTAACCTCTTCAACATCAAGTAACACTAGAATCTTCTCCAACATCAAGTAACACTAGAATCTTCTCCAACGTCAATTAACACCAGAATCCTCTCGAACGTTAAGTAACACCAGAATCCTTTTCAATATCAAGTAACACCAGAATCATCTCCAATATCAAGTAACACCAGAATCCTTTTCAATATCAAGTAACACCAGAATCCTCTGCAACAATAAGTAACACTATAATCCTCTCCAACATCAAGTAACACCATCAGCTTCTCCAACATTAAGAAGTAATACCAGAACCTTCTCCAACATCAAGTAACACCAACAACTTCTCCAACATCAACTAACACCATCAGCTTCTCCAACATCAAGTAACACCAGAACCTTCTCCAACACCAACAACATTTCCCCTCCCCCCAAAAACACACAAAAAAAATTCTCCAACTTCACTGAACGTCCACATTTTCACCAACTTTTCTCCAACAATAATGTTATCTCAGGTCTTCTCCACCACCTTCCTACACCAGACTCTCCTCCAGCACTAAGCCAGCACCATCAAACACCCTCATATCCTTTAGTATTTCTCAAGCACTCTCCTAAACGAGCGCCACAGACCCTCCTCACCCCACCCACGTCCCTCTGGCCATCCCCGTTCTCTGGCCACCCCTCGCCCTCCATGGCCACCCACCTCCCATCCTCCAGCAGGCCCACAAGCACCCACGTCTGCCTTCACTACATATGAGACCCAGACAGGCCTGGTCAGGGGGGCATCCTCTTAGACACTGAGATGTGTCTTGGTGGCAGCAGCTAAACTTGTGCACCTTGGCGTTATCGCTATGTTTACATTAGTATTTTTTCTTTTTCCTTGGTGTATTATTTTTCTATTTTTACTTGATGTTATTCTATATCTTCAAAGAGAAAGATTCTATTAGGTAAAGATCTGTTAAGTAAAGATCTATTACGTAAAGATCAGTTAGGTAAAGATCTATTAAGTAAAGATCTATTCCGTAAAGATCAATTTGGTAAAGACCTGTTAAGTACAGATCTATTCCGTAAAGATCAATTAGGTAAAGATCTATTAAGTAAAGATCTATTCCGTAAAGATCAATTAGGTAAAGACCTGTTAAGTAAAGATCTATTCCGTAAAGATCAATTAGGTAAAGATCTATTAAGTAAAGATCTATTCCGTAAAGATCAATTAGGTAAAGACCTGTTAAGTAAAGATCTATTACGTAAAGATCAGTTAGGTAAAGATCTGTTAAGTAAAGATCCATTAGGTGAAGATCTATTAGGTGAAGATCTATTAGGTAAAGATATATTAAGTAAAGGTCCATTAGGTGACGATCTATTAGGTGAAGATCTATTAGGTAAAGATATATTAAGTAAAGGTCCATTAGGTGACGATCTATTAGGTAAAGATCTATTAAGTAAAGATCTATTAAGTAAAGGTCCATTATATATCTCTCGTCCCCGGGTGACTAGAGACGAGGCGAGAAGCAGTGATTAAACCCATGGAATAAATTATACCAGGTAAAGAAGACTTAATTATGGTTACCTGTCGTCCTGCCCTCAACCTCCAATAGGTAATACAGATATGTGGAAAAAGGTAAAGTAAAGACGCATATGTTTACAAGACGGAATAATGCCAGCGGTGTTAGTCTCCCACCCTGAGGCACTCCAGCGTCTATGGGTGACTGGCATCTAATATAGCTTTTAAGAGAGAGAAAACATCATGGCAGAGATCAAATACGAGTTAGGTGGTTCTACAGTGAAACCTATATTTAATGGACGATATGGAGAGGAAAGTCCGTTATATCGAGGGTATATTAGATGTGAAAACCCCATCTATAGGATTATATAAAGATAGAAGTCCGTTATATGGAGGTTTCACTATCAAATAAAATCAAACTACATCAGCATAGAGAAGGAAGAAAATAAGGATAACAAACACTCACACTTGATGCTGATGTTGACGCTGTTACTCTTGGAGTCGCCCTCTACGTTAGAAGCGACACACTCATAGCGGCCTGAGTGCTGGCGTCCGACGGTCTGTAGCCCCAACACAGCATTGCCCACCAACACTCCGGCGCTTACATTGTGCACCAGCTCCTCGCCCTGTGGGGACACCAGGCACCTTGTTAGTAATCTGTATAGGTAGGGAGACGGGAAGAGAGAGAGAGAGAGAGAACACGTGACACTCTCCCCCCACCATCCACTACCACCATCCTGCAGGCGGTCCACACATCTCCAGCAGGTTCCTAATTCACGGACAGCGTTAAGACACAAGGAACAGGGGCGAGAGACTGGGGTATGAATACTAATGAAGAGACGAGCGAAGGCTAAGGTCTATCACCCGGTGTTTACAACTCTCTCTCTTGACCTATATGTAAAGACTAACCCTTACAAACGCCCTTTGATAATTATAATGGATCGATGTGTATAGAAATTAGGTCACATGAATATAAATTAGGTCAGATGTATTTAAATTAGGTCATATATAGAAATAGGTCACATGTATATAAATTAGGTCACACGTATATAAATTAGGTCAGATGTATATAGAAATTTGGTCACATGAATATAAATTAAGTCAGATGCATATAACTTAGGTCATATATATATATATATATATATATATGAATAGGTCACATGTATATAAATTAGGTCACGTATATAAATTAGGTAAGATGTATATAGAAATTAGGTCAGATGTATACAGAAATTAGGTCACAACATGTAGGATACAACACAAACAATAATAAATAAAAGCTGGTTTTCCGGCATCTTCGTTAAAATAATATTTTTATTTTTTATTTTTTTTTACTATTTCTTCGCCCCCAGGCCCCGTTGTGGGTCGATGCCCTGTGTCCGGGTGAGCTATTCCCCGTAAAAGAATAAAAAATAAAAGTAAAAAATTTTCCATGTGCTAACACGTACAAACCAAACCAAACCTAACTTAACCTAATACACAAAAACTGTCCTCCCTATAACCTAACATCTAAGGCCTGCTTTCAATATAACATGACCCGAAGGTTTCAAAGCCGAGCCTGACGCCTACTCCTGACGAAGGCGAGGTCACGGGTACAGTCACACAGAGGCAACAGGAGTAAGAGTTTCTGGGTGCGTTGCTTCCGTCTTTCATCTGTACCAGTATTTGTGGAGATCACACGGTCTTGTTGAGTTTACAAGGGAGAGAGTGTTGATTTAAGCCTCGTGGTATCCTTATATAATGTATAAAATCACAAATAATCTGAGAAGGGAAGAGTGATGTAAAGCCTCTCTATGTATCAACAATAAACAGGGGAATAAACAAAGTGTATAATTAGTTCCAATCATCACAGTCAAGACACAACACCGAACTTCCCAGAGAAGACGTGAGACTCAAACAATGCGAGAATGAGGAACCACCACCACCACCACCACTACTATTACTACTTTGCTGTCACTCGG